CTGCTGCGCGCAGGGGGCGTGAGCCCCCGGGGCCGTCGTATTGTATATTTTCTTTTGAGAAATGTTTGTTCAGGTCTTTTTCCTGTTAAATTTTTCTCTTTTTTTTGTACATAAGTATGAGAGACAGAAAGAGAGACAGATATACAAAGACAGAAACAGACACCACCAACAGGATTTTCATGCTGTGATCCACCTCCAGCTTCAGCCAGCCCTAAATCATATCCCAGCATGCTTAGGGAGGCCTCCAAACACAAACCTGGAACCTTTACATGTGGATCAGCCTTGTAGAGTATTGTGTTACTGTTGTGGTACCATCTGACTTCCCATTTGCTCATTTTACCTCTACAAATATATTTTTTTAAGGAATTATTTTATTTAACTTTATTTATTTATTTATTTATTTATTTATTTATTTATTTATTTATATTTGACCAGAGTGAGACAGAGAGAGAGATAGTGAGAAAGTAAGACACCAGGTCCAGGACTTGAACCGTGGTCAGCCATGTGGGAGTCCAGCACCCATAACCACCACACCACCTGCTGGTCCTCTCCAAATTTATTTTAAAATATGTGAAGAAGTAATACATCCAGCGGTGTTCTTTTTGCTTAAGATTATTTTGGCTATTCAGGGTATTTTGTGTTTCTATATAAATTTTATGATAATTTTTAAATTTTTCTGTTAAAAATTATATCAGAATTGAGGATCAGCAGATGGCATAATGGTTATGTCACTGGACTCCCACATAGTTGACTGTGGTTTGAGTCCCAGACCCGGTGGCTTAAAACTCACACTCGGCACACGTTCCCCAAGAAGGGAATGGAGGAGAAGGGATTGCGCCATGGCCATCCCCTCTTGGGGGTGATTTCTTGCTTTCTGTCTTTGTTTCTCTCTGTCTCTCTGGCAAGTGCACACACTCTATAGCAAAATCCTCTCTACCAAAAAAACAGTATTATAATTGATAGCTATTTCACTGAGTCTGCTGATTGCTCTAGGCAATATGAACATTTTAACGACATTAATTATTCCAGTCCGTGAACGTGGATTATCTTTCCATTTATTTGTATCTCCTTTCGTTTCTTTCATCAGCACTTTGTAGTTTTCAGTGTTCAAGTCTTCCACCTCTTTGGTTGAATTTAGTCTTAAGTAATTTTTTATGCTATCATAAATGGACTTTCTAAAAATTTCTTATTTGAATAGTTTGCTATTTGTGTCTAGAAATGGTACTGATATTTGTATGTTGGTTTTGTAACCTACAACTTCACTGAATTTGTCATCTCTAACAGTCTTTGGGTGGAGTCATTACTAGAAAAGAATAACTATAGGTCAATATCCCTGATGAATATAGATGCAAAAATCCTCAAGAAAATACTAACAAACAGAATTAGATAGCACATTAAAAATCTTATTTACCATGATAAAGTGGGTTTTATCCCAGGGATACAAGGATGATTCAATATATGTAAATCAACAAATGTGATATGGCATATTAACAAAGTGAAGGACAAAAAATATCATCTCATTTATTTCCTAAAAGTTGTTATTTTCATTTTCTCATCCCTTTCAGAGAACACTTGGACCAGCCAGGTTGCGTGGTGGTTAGGGTGACTGGATCCTACATGACCGACAGTATGGTTTGAGTCCTTGACTCCACAGCTTGAAAAACATGCCTGACTCATGTGTGTGCATGCTCAAAATCCTAAGAGGAGACTGGAGGAAAAGGAATTTCAGCATGGCCTTTCCCCTGGAACATGATTTCTTACTTTCTCTTTCTCTGTCTTTCTCTAGTGAGTGGACATGGCCTATAGCAAAACAAACAAACAAACAAAAACAAAACCAACAAACCAACCAACAAATAAAAACCTAAAACAAACAAACAAACAAACAAACAAAAAACTAAAAAGAAAGAAAGAAAGAGAACACCTTTAAATTCTTCAAAGAAAACTTTCATTTTTACAATTTTTTGCTATAGGGCATTATCCTTGCTGGAGAGAAAGACAGAGAAACAGAGAAAGAGAAAAAGCGAAAAAGTATCCTCCAGGGGCTGGCCACACCACAGTCCCTTCTCCATTCACCTTTGGGATTTTGGGCATGCATGCAAACATGCCCTGTGCGTTTTTCAAGCCGCTGAGTCTGGGACTCACACTATGCAATTAACCATATGAGTTCCAGCTGCTTTCACCATGTCACTGACTGACCTGGAAACTTTCTTTTTATTATTATAAGTTTATTTAATTGAATTTAGCTCAGGAATGTGGTCTATATAATATCATTTTACTTTTCTTTTTAAGAGACTTTTGCTATAAAGTGTGTGTATTTGCCAGAGAGAGAGAGAGAGAGAGAGAGAGAGGGCAAGAAGGCAAGAAATCACCCCTGGGGGGGATAGCCATGTTGCAATCCCTTCTCCTCCATTCTCCCCTCAGGAATTTGGTAAAACACACACACATACCTGGCATGAGTTTCAAACTGCCAGGTCTGGGACTTGAACCATGATCGACCATGTGGTAGTCCAGCATCTTAAGCACTATGCCACCTGCTGGCCCCATTTTTACCTTTCTAAATTGCATTTTTATGATAAAATATTTCAGCAATTGCAAAATATAAAAAAATAACATAATGAATACTCAGGTACCTACCAACCAGCTTTAAAAAAAAAGTTTTTCCATAGATGCCAATGAGGTCCCCATGTGCCCTTTCTGTTGCATTCTTCCCAATCCCCTGAGGTAACAACCATTGTTCCAGGGGTTGGTGTTTGTCATGCATGGATATTTTTGCAGTTTTAATATAGACATTTAAAGTCCTAGAGATAAACTATTACCTCCAAGTTATCAAGACAAGAAAGAGGGTGTGAAAAGGGTCTGAGAACCTGTGCCCAGAGGCAGAAGGCATTGCCCTACTAACTGCAGGAAGGTAAGCCTGGGAGCTGTGTGCCAGGCTGCCTTCAACTACGATGCCCCACCAACAGCTTTCCCCAAGGACAGGTGTGGTTGTAACTGGCTACGGTGCACTTTTGTATGCAGATAGTTTACGTTTTGCTGCATTCATGATTATTGGTATTTTTTATGATGTGTGCCTTTTGCATTTAAAAAAATTTTATTTAATCATATGCCTTTTGCATTTTGTATGAGAAACCATTGTTTTCACCATGAATGGTAGCCTGCTGTCCAGTGATGGACAGTGAATGGTTGGGTGACAAAGGGTGAGTTGTAGCCGCCATAGGCCACATTGCAGAACACACTGCCTCTCCCCACCCCTGCTACCTCTGTGCACACATCCTCTGCTGGGAACACCGCCTGTGAGCCTGGGGTTCCCCATTGCACTTGATAAAGCACTTGCTCTTCCATGTGTGGCTCAACCTTCCCTGATGTTCACCTGCCCTCCCTGCACGAACAGCAGGAAGCTGTGATGACACAGCAAGATCCCATCTGCATACTCATCTCATTAGAGACTCTGTGTCCAGAGTTTTGCCTGGGGTATGCCCAAACTCTAGACTTTCAGAGGGAAAACAGGCATTCTGCATGAACCCCACTCTTTGTACACACACTTTAAGCTCACAACGGCAGGGCAGAGGGGTCCTTCTCTAATCCAAGTTCCCAGATGCCAGCTGAAAGCCATCAGCCAGAGGCTTAGGGTTGCCATCCCAGGCTTGTAGGAGACTCTACTGCACAGGGGACATGGGGTTCATCCTTATGGAGAGAGGGACTGGATCCAATGTGGTTTTGGGGGGACTCATTCCTGAAGGGCTTTCCCTCCCCAGGACAGGTATCCTCCCTAGGGACAATTACACTTTGAGTCCTGAACATGCGTCCATCCTTCGGACAGGTGCGACCAGGATAGATCTGGCTTGCTGAACACCTTTCTGGGTGGGGACCCGGTGGCTATAGGGAGCAGTCAGGACCACCCTGCATGGGAAATCCAGATGGGTCTCTGGTTACAAGCAATACAGAGAAATTATGGTTTATTCATTGGGAGAGAATTTATTGAGGAAGGGGCAGCTGCATGCCCTGATGTGCTCACAGGGTTGAGGCAAAGCCAGAGAAGGAGGCTCAGATCCATGGAGGAGCCATGTTGGGGCCTGGGGGGCAGAAGTCACTTCACAGGTAGGAGATAGCAAGGAAGAGAGGCTGACTCCACTGCAGTTCTTCCTCTGGCTGCGCAAGTGCAGTGACCTGGGGAGTTCCACTGATTGGCCACATCATGGCCCACCAGGCTGCAGAGGTGGCCCTCACCAACCAGGAAAGGCAGCCCTTGAAGAAATATATGGCTGCACCAGGGGAGAACTGCCCACTGGGTGGCCACTGACCACTAATGCCCACTGAGGAGGCCAGGAACAGAGACATGGACAGCTGTGTGGCTACTAGTAAGGAATCCAAGAGTGCAGGTGGCAGTGAACTAGCTCTTGAGCTTGGGTCTTAACAAGATGATGACTCAACAGCAGGCTGGACGGGCACAGGCAGGGCGGCAGCGCAGGGACACACAGGAGGCTGGGCGGCAGCAGCTGGGCTGGCAGCTGGAGGCAGGGGCACAGCAGGAAGAGGCAGGTACACAGCAGGCAGGTCTGCACACAGGGCGGCACAGCAAGGACAGAGAGGACGAGGGTCTGCAGCAGACAGGCACACAGCAGGCCTGCTGACAGGGAACGGAGCAGCAAGCTGGCTGGCCGCCAGACTGCTGGCAGACACAGGTTTGCAGCAGACAGGCACACAGCACACGGGCTTGCAGCAGACGGGCACACAGCAGGCCTGCTGACAGGGGGACGAGGTGCAGCAAGCTGGCTGGCAGCTGGACTGCTGGCAGCAGGGAGAGGAAACCTCAGAGCAGACAGGCACACAGCACACGGGCTTGCAGCAGATGGGTACACAGCAGGCCTGCTGACAGGGGGACGAGGTGCAGCAAGCTGGCTGGCAGCTAGACTGCTGGCAGCACGAGGGTGTGCAGGAGCTGGTGCACACTGATTGGCAGGGGCTGGGCTCACAGGTTGCCTGGCAGCAGGGGCTGCACACACAGCTCACTGGTGTGCAGATGAGGGTCAGGCAGGGGGCCGGGGCACAGCAGCTGGGGGTACAGCAGGGAACAGGGGCACAGCAGCTGGGGGCACAGCAGGGAGGCTCACAGCAGCTCTCTGGGCAGTCGTCCACTTCCCAGGAGGAGCCGGTGCAGGACTCAGAAAAACCAGGCAGGCAGACCCGGCTGCCATAGCTCAGGTTGCTGGAGCAGACAGACATGGAGGTGGCCATGTGGGTGGCTGAGCTGGAGTGTGGGGAGGGTGTGAGTGTGTGAGTGGGTGAGTGAGTGAGTGGGTGAGGGTATGAGGTAGATGCTGGGCTGTCAGCTTTTATCCATTCTTGGTTCTGGCTGTACAGGCTTCACAGCTGCCCCTTCCTCATTGGTGAGGCCGCTGCTGGCATCATTAGGGTTGTTTGTTTGTCCTGATGTCATCCTGCTTGTAAATCTGGTGGTGTCTAGGGCCATCCCATGTGATCCCTGGGAGCAGGGATGGGGCTCAGTCCTAGCAGGTTCTGGTTCTCTGGCAATGGGGTCCAGCGGTGGACATGCCTTGGCCTCCTTAGCTGTGCTGGGCATTGTTCTGTCACCCACTGGCCTAGCCTCTGAGCTGTGGCTCCACTTGCAGGAAGCCAGCTTTGGAAAAGGTTTCCTGAAGTCAAACCCTCATCTGTGTTGCCCACCACATTCAGGGATGCAGGGCTTTGTTCACCTGTGACTGAGGACCAGCATCCAGGGGCCTCCAGTACCCAGCCCGGCCCACCCAGAGCCAGTACCCACCATGGGGCTAGCTGCACTTCCTGCCTGTGCCCACTGGCCACCTGTCCTTGTATCCAGGCAGCATTGGACCTTGTTCCATTTCAAGGATTGGAGTCTCATCCTCTCTGATGGCAGCCTCCCGGACTGTGGCTATGGGTTCAAACCAGGCAGAGCGCTCGTGCTGGGCAGGGTACCCAGGACCCTTGCCCCTACTGGGTTGCCTCCTCTGTGACAGACCCCCAATGGTCTTTACCAGTCCTTCTGCTCATTCAGTGTCCCAACCCCATTGTCTCAAGTACATGCATGATGTATATTGTTGCTGCTTTAAAGTTAAGTGGCACGTATCATGGGACCCTGAGTGGAAGATGCAAAATGTATCTGCCAGTAGTGATTCTTCTCGGCCTGTTGTCTGCACCCATCCAGTTCTCCACTCAGTAAGCAGCCACTATCTCCCACTGTCTCTTCTTTGTTTCTGTCTCTCTGTGAAATTTAGACCTTGCTATTTAAAAGTGACCACTGGCCAGTCCTTCCCGAGTGAACAAGTCCCTGCTTCCTCCCCAGGAAGGCATAGCCTGCCCAGTAGAACACAGTGCAGGGCCATGATTATAACACTGAATTCAGAGTGAGAACTGGACTGGAATCTGTTTGCTTATATGCTGGGTGGTCTTGGGCTACACTTTTACATCTCTAAAGTTCAATTTCCTCATCTGTAAAATGGAGATAATCATATCTAACTCAAAATGTGATTATCGAATGAGACAGAGCACACACACACACACACACACACACACACACGCCACACTCTCATTACTCGTGGTGTTGTTCTACAAAGTCCCTGTTACTGAATCTGTGAATACAAAACCCGATTTCCTAGGAGGTGCAGAGTTAGGGTCCTGTGAGCCTCTGGTGACATTTTCATTGGTTGATCAACACATGACCTTGTTATGTGTGTTGCTGTTTAAAGGCGCCTGGCTTAACCCATAGTATTGATTTACTGATGGTGAACGCATAGCCATGTCCCCCAAAATGCATGTGTTGAAATCTGGTGAGTATTGTAACAGTGCTGAGAATGTTGGTGCTTAATCTGACCATGGTTTTGAAAGATGTCCCAATGGTCATATTTCTTTAAAAATCATTTCCTATCTACTTTACTGAAGTACTTACATTGCTCATTTTTCCTCTTCTGTTCTATTCCTTAAACATGGTTTTTACTATTCTTTCAGTAGTCACTCTAGCAATTACCACATGCACTCTGAGGGGGTCATTCAGGCATTAGGACTTTCATCATTTCCAATGTCTTGCTAAGATTTTAAAAACTTTAGCTCTATTTGTGCTTCTCACTGTTTATTGTAATGTTGTCATGCACTTTATTTTTAGTTACAGTGTAGACCACAAAGGTGTTATAAATATAATACAGATTGTACCATAATATCCCGAATGGCAGTGCAAGTCAATTTTCACATGCATTTGCTCACTTACTTAGCCTTTCTGACCCTCTGCATGGCTTCCTTTATCTCTTGTCTTTCAGTCATACTGTCTAAAAGTTCCCTTTGGTAGTTACTTTAGAACGGATCTGCTGGTGTTGAGTTTGCTCCCCCTTTGTCTATCCAGCCGTGTATTATGTGACCTTCGCTTTCTGAAAGCATTCTTCCTGAGCCAGAATTCCAGGTCTGAAGTTATTTTCTTTCACCCCCTTGAAGATGTCATCTACTACCTTCTTGTTTTCATGTTTCTGTCGTGGAACTGATTGTCAATCTTATGGCCACAAAGTTGAAGTGAATATTTCTTTTTCTTCTGATTATTTTCAGTACTTTGTCTTTAACTTCAATTTTCACCAGCTCCATTATGGAGTATCTAAGTGTGACTTCACTCATATTTATTCTCTCAAATTTTATAGCATTTCCTGAATTTGTAGCTTGAGTGTTAATTTTGGAACAGTCTTTGCCATCATCTCTTCAAATCTCCCCATTTTCTCTCTTTCCTCCCAACTGGAACTCCAGTGACAAAGAAAAATGTGAAGCTTCCTCACCATGTTCTCCCACATTTATTTTATCATGCCCCCTCCTTGTTACTCTCCGGTTTATCCTAGGTGCTTCACACTTCCCTGCTTGCTATTCCGCTACCCCCTGGCTATCCATTCTAGTATGAACTGACCTATCAATTCATTAATACAATTTTTGCAGTTTTTAAGTTATAGAAATGCTATTCGTTTATTTATATATTGTGGTTTTATGATAGAATTCCCTATCATTGCCTCTGATGTCTTGAACATATTAATCACAGTAATTTTAAGTATGTGTTTGATAACTCCATTAGTGCTTTGCCTCTGGGACTGCTTTTTACTGTCTGTTTTGTCTCTTGGCCCTACTTCTTGGCATGACTATAATCCTCCTTTGCATGTCTGATATTGTGTATGTAGAATTCCTGAAGTTCTGAGTGAGTCTCTCTTCTTCCACAGTGTTACTTTATCCTCTGGTAGATGGTCTTAGTGGGAGTAGGGGACTTTACTGACTGGAGGCTGGGTGGCATCTCGTAAGCTGAGGTCTATGTCTGTTTTTCTCCCACTCCTATGGTGCGGGTTTCCAGAGTGAGAGCAGCTCTTCCTTGGCTAGTCTTAGCTCCAAATTCATCTCTTTGGTAATGAAATAGCCAAGTCTCTGTTTGGCTTCTTAGTACCTTCCCTGTGTAGCATGAAAGTTTGGCAAATATCCTGAGGGTTCAACCTCCAACTACCAAGTCCTTCTTGGTGCTCCCATCTGTCTGAAATCTTGTCCCCTTGGGCCTTTGCTACCTCAATAGACACCCCTATTCACTTTCTCCCAACCCCATGAGAGGGCTAGAACCTCTACTGACTTTGAGCATCTCTCTTGCAGAGTTCTGCCCTTATGTCCTATGCCGGGACTTACCAACGTCACTTAAAGGACACAGGTGTACCCTCCTATCTGGCCATCCTTATTTCCAGAATTCTCATCTCTCTATTTTTAGTTTCAGCAGCAGCTCTCTAAAACGTTTAAACAAATGTTCAAAAAATGCTTTCATTCTGGCTTTCTAGTTGCTTTTGGCAGGAGTGTGTGTGTGTTTTAAATTATTTATTGAATGCTATTTATTATTATTATTATTCAATTTAACCAGAGAGAGAGAGAGCGGGGAAGTGAGAGAGCAAGCCACCAGGTACGGGATTCGAATTGCAGTTGGCCACCTGGGAGTCCAGTGCCTCAACCAACACACCACCTACCAGTCTCAGCAGGAGTGTATTTCTGACACAAGCTACTTTGTCACAGATGGAAGAAGGTCCCTTCTTCCTCTTTCTCTGTCTCTCTGCACTTCCAGTCCATATGAGCAGTTCCTGAACCTCTGGAGGAGCCAGTCAGACTTAAATTTATATTATTTTTATAATTTGAGATATAAAGAGAGACAACTCAGCCTACACTGTCATTGACTTTCTAGAACCCTTGAAGACTTTGTGTCTGTCCTCAGAAGCTGAGAGCCCTGGCCTGAGAACCACTCATAGAGACAGAGAACAGCAGGGAAAGGTGAAGAGTTTGACTCTCCAAGGCTTGCCCAGGTGTCATACTCACACCTGGTTAGGTGCCACTGTCCAAGCCAGTGAGTGCTGTGCTGTATCCATCATCCCTGTCACAGGGCACCATGCAGCCTGCACCGGTCAGGGCTCGCTGGTCAGGTTCACGAATGGCTCACTGTTGCCGTCTCAGCTCCCGGTGCAGTACCCAGCACTTGGAGGATTTGCTGCATCGTGAATGGAGTAATGCTTGGCAAGTACAGGACCAGATAGGACTTGAGACATTCCGTTGGAAGAACCCAGACTTGGTGGTTGTTTGGGTATTATCGTTTGTCAGGAAAGTCATGATGCATTTTTGCGTAGAAAAATACATCATGATACGACCTCTCCAACAACCCAATATTTGCAGAAGAGAGGGAGACTTGGGTGACTCTTAGGAATCCAGTCAGGATGACCCCAGGAATTGTTCATTAACAATTGAGAAAATAGACAGGAAACACAAAGGCAGCAATAGCTGCTGTCACATGCTGTTTTAGCGAACTGTGCTTCTTGCAGAGGAGCTGCCCGAGCAGCTGTTAGATCCACAGGTCTGCAGTATTCTGGGAAAGCAAGCAGGGCTGGGAAGCTGAGCAGACACGGGACAGGGTCTTCCCGGGGGCGCGCGGAAAGATGCGCTCTGCCTCACCACTGTCTACCCTTTCTGTTTCCACCTGCACTTCAGCCCTTGGGGACTTCTGCCCCAGAGACAGTCCTGTAGTCACTTCTGGAATGTCCCTACCACTTTATTTCCCTGACTTCTCGAGCCTGGCACTAAACATTCCCTGTCCAGCCAGGAAGGTGAAGATGTCAATAGACCTCAAATGCTTGCAGGACTCAGCTGAGCAACGGCTCATGGAACGAAACATGATATTGGCATTAATAAGAGTGCTCTAGACTCAAACACCAACAAGGAAGGGGAGG